TCCACTCTCAGGGGTTGACAGGGGGCAGGGAGCCCAGCTCAGGCAGCAGCTCGGGGTGGGGGTCCAGGCGGGCCAGGCGGCTCTGCTCTAGGGCAATGGCCTCGGCCGAGTGTTTGCACTTCTCCGAGCCACACTGGCAGGTGAAATATTTGCTTTTGATGTCCCAGAAGCGGTCGCCATAGTCAAACCTGTCAGAGGAGCACAGGAGGCTTGTGGGACCCAGACCTGACTGCCCAGGCCAGGCCAGAGCCTCCGTGGACCCTGCTCCGGAGGGCCCTGCCCCTCTCCCGGCAGGCCGACCCTCGCGTGTTCTGTGGACCCGAGCACCAGCCTGCCTGGAACTGTCTGCATGCAGGAGCCTGAGCCCCACCCACATTTACTGAAGCAAAATTCTGTGAGCTCGGGCCTATTTAGCACGCCCTCCAGGGACACTGCTGCAACCATGCGTGCAGCTGGGAGTTCTCTTCAGGCTGAGTCCCAGGCCCGCGCCGCCCGCCCCCGGCCCAGCCCAGCCTCACCCCAGCTCCTCCCCGGTGCGGATGTCCCGGGAACTGAAGAAGGCGATGCGTGGAAACCGCAGGTCTTGGTGCAGCATGAAGACCCGGACAGGGATGATGTTGGGGTCACATAGGTGGTTGATGAACCGGCTGATGTTGCCGTAGTAACGGGCATCGATGCAGTACACCTCTCCATCCTGAGGGGAGGGTGGCACTCTTCAGTGCCAGGCCCATGGCCCCCCCAGTCCCCCCAGCCCCCCCAGGTTTCCATGTGCGGCCTGGGAGTAGGGGACAGCGGGACCTCCTGCCCACCTTGTTGTCCAAGTCGAAGAGGTAAGAATCATCCTCTCTGACGTCCGCCTCGGCGTCGGAGATCAGCTCCCCGACATACCTGCTGGGCAGGGCGGGCTTCTGAAGGCGGCAGGCGGCGGAGCCGGCCGCCGTGTCTCCTCACAACCCCACGCCCCGCTTCACTGTCAGACGCCCCAGTCAGTGTCCGCGAACGTCACTGCTGCACAGTGCTGGCACCCACGTGGGACCCGCGGCCTAGTGGGCCCAGAGGACAGGGACTTCATCTGGGAGGGGGGGGTTGGTGGCCCCCTCAGGGCAGGACCAGGAGGACGAACATGGGGACACTGGCATGTGAGGTCCCCACTGCAGAGTTGCAACAGGCAAGTGTGGTGGCCGGGGGAGGGGAAGGGATGGACCCAGGGCTCTGGGTTTGGGGTGAGCCGGTGGCAGTTGGCTTGGGTGGGACAGTGCTCAGGTTTAGACACTGGGAGGTTTGTGGGCGTGGCAACGGCAGGCTGATGGACAGGCGTCAGGGCTGCAGGAAGGGATGAAGCCGCAGGAGCGGAGGGGTGGGGGGGGGGGGGGGAGGAAGGTGGCACAGGGAGCAGGGTGGGGTACAGAGGGGTGAGGGCAAAGGCAGGTGCAGGCAGGATGAGCAATGAGCGATGGTGGGGAACGGAGGCCCAGGAAGAACGGCTGCTTGTTGAGAGATGACATGACAGAAAAAAGGCCGTGGGTTTGATCCCTGGCCCTGGTCAGGGCGCACGCAGGAGGCAACCAATCAATGTGTCTCCACATCAGTATTTCTCTCTCTTTCTCTCCTCCCTCCCTCCCTTCCACTCTAAAAACCAATGGAGCCCTAACCAGTTTGGCTCAGTGGATAGAGCATCAGCCTGCGGACTCAAGGGTCCCAGGTTCGATTCTGGTCAAGGGCATGTACCTTGGTTGTGGGCACATCCCC